AGGGACGGAGTGCGGTAGGGGAAGAGGCGGTAGTAGGGTACCGACTCGTCGAACGTGACGTCCTGGGAGGACAGAACACGTCGAGAGGTGGGGTGGTAAAACTGCCACCCAGGGGCGTCGGGGGGGAACCCCAGGAAGACGCAGGGAGAAGCACGAGGGGACAGCTTGTCCGCAGACAGGTCGCGAACAAACGCCCGAGATCCCCAGACCCGGAACGCCGACGCATCGCCAACCTTCCCCGTCCACAGCAGTGCTGGGGAGGTCTCCGGTCGAGAGACCCTGGGGTGGAGGTTGATCTGGTGCGCAGCGTACCTGACCGCAAACGGCCACAGAAAATGGGGAGCAGCCGCATGCATCATGGACGTACGAGCGACGTCCATGACCATGCCAATGCGGCGCTCAGCAATCCCATTCTGCTGTGGTGAGTCCGGAAGCGTGAAGGTCTGACGGATGCCTCGCACACGACAGTAGGCACTCAGGAGGCCAGAGGAGAACTCTCCGCCTCTGTCCGAGTGCAGACGCAAAACAGGGAAGTCAGAGCCAAAGCTCCTCCGAAGCTGGAGACGAGCTGCGCGGATCCAGTCGATCAACACCTCAGTGACCTCACCCTTGCTGCGCAAGGGGAAGACTGTGGTGTAACGCGAGTAGTCGTCAACCACCAGCAGGAAGTAGCGCTCCTGACCCTGTCCACGGACGCGGGCTGGGCCCCACACGTCCATGTGAAGCGTCTGCAACGGGGCCTCTGTCGGAGGAAACTGGGAGGAGTGAGGGGCAGCACGCTGGCGCCCCTCGACACAGGGGACACAGGTGGGGCCAGGGCCCGGAGGAAGGGGAGGGAGAGACCGGGGAAGACCAGACACAAGGACTCGCGAGGCCATGCCTCTGAGCCGAAGCAGAGAGGGGTGGCCAAGGCGGTGGTGCCAGAGGAGGGTCTCGTGAGACAGACGACGACACGAGCAGGGGGCAGACTCAGGACCAGACCTGGACGCTGCAGCAAACACCTGACCAGACGAAGGGACCCTACCAGACTCAGTACCTGGAGGAGAAGCAGTGGTCAGTGTGTACAGGCTCGACCCTGGCCGACGTGTAAACGTAGCCAGGTGGCGACCTGTATCCGCCTCCGTGCAGTGGGTCACCCGCTGACGAGCAGGGGTGAACTGGTGGACACCCGCATCCTGTAGGTCAGCACCACTCACCAAGTTCGTCGAGAACGAGGGGAGGTAGAGACCAGTCAGGGTGCCAGAGGGGGCCGCCGGACACGGGAGGACAGTGGAGAAGCGAGACAGGACAGGCCCCCCAGAGGGGTCAGCCAGGGACACCGCAACCGGCCGACTCAGCGGTGTGAGAGTGGTGCGGTCCCTAAAGAAGGAGCGAGACGCTCCAGAGTCAAGGGTGAAGGTGTGAGAGGCCGAAGCCGACACAGTACCTGAGAGGGCAGACTCACCAGCACCTGAGAGCACAGACGCACTGGCACCTAGAGCAGCAGCCTCACTAGTACCTGACGCGGCAGTACCAATGCCCGGGTCGGGCGGGAAACACCAGTAACAGTCATCCTTATCACTACCAGTCACAGCATACATAGCAGAGAGAATAGCATCAAAATCAAGATCATAAATAGCTACACCAGCCCTAGACAGCTCTCCCCAGCGGGGGATCTCAGCGGCCTCCGGAAACTGCTGACGCCAGGCGTCGGTCAGGCGGCCAAAGCAGCGGCGGGCTGTGTGGGCGCCTCCACACCTCTCCCCTGCACGGTCACCGGTGCGAAGAACGTAGGGGCAGGGACCAAGCGCACCACCACGCTGACGCTGCAAGTACCACTCACGGAGCTGCTGAGGGGCGAGGACGGTGCGAGAGCGCTGCTGCTGCTGTGGCTGCTGCTGCGGCTGCTGCTGCTGCTGCTGCTGCTGACGCTGACCACCCCCAGAGCTGCTCCGCTGGGACGAGCCACTCCGACCCCCGCCTCCACCGCCACCCCCGCCTCCACCGCCACCCCCGTCTCCACCGCCACCTCCCCCACCAGGACCGTCGCTCCCACCGCTCCCACCGCCTCCTCCGCTACCACCTCCGCCGCCACCTCCGCCTCCACCGCCGCCACCAGTACCTCCACTCCCGCCACCACCTCCACCGCCACCCCCACTCCCCCCGCCACCCCCACCGCATCCTCCACCGCCCCCTCTAGCTCCACCCGCGCCCTTGCCCCCCTTGCCCTTGCCAGAGCGGCGTCTGCCGCTGGGGGCAGACGCCGCGCCGACCGACTCAAAACCAGTGAGGTCGGCCGCAGCGGCAGAGGCGACAGAGGGCAGCAGGGGGGAAGGACCACACCCCTCAAAGATGGGGGTGCGAGGGTCACCCCGAGAGGCCCCTACAGCGACAATACTCTTCTCAGCCGCTAGCAGGGACTCCTCAAGGAGGTCGACAGTGAGAGTGGTGGGACAGACAGAGAGAAACTGGTCCCTAACGACACGAAGGGACTCAGGGAGACGGGTGACGAGAAAGTAGAGAGTGATGTACATGGGAGGAGGGTTCGCAGCGCGGAACTCAGCAGGAAGGGCAGCGCGGTAGCGGGTGTCACTAGCACGGAGGTGGGTAACGAGGTCAGCGACAGTGGGAAAGGAAGCGAGGTCAGGGAAGAGAAACGGTAGCATGAGGTGGCTAAGGGTAGCGGAGGAAGGGGAGGAGTAGCGTGCAACTACAGCGTCGTACAAGGCCTGAGCGGTCTTGCACTGACTAAAGTGGGCACGCTCAGAGGAAGGGAGGTGGCGACGCACAGCAAGACGTGCAGCAGCATCGCGGGTCGCCCACTTGGAGCGAACGGCAGAGTCAGCATCAGCAGGTGGGGCAGGGACAGCGCCAGAGACAAAGTCAAAGAGAGAGACCTCATCTATCGCATCACACAGTAAGTACAGCTGCAGGTCTTCAATCCAGACGGCAAAGTCAATGGCCCTCCCCTCAGCGTCAAAAGTAAGAACATTGGGGGTGGCCATGGCAGCAGCTGAAAGTCTCACCGGGCTGGGAGAGTCGGGTAGGCCAGCAGCAGAGGAACACAGCTCAGGAACAGCGGCACGGCTCGGGCGGCTCGGGTTGCTGGGGCGGCGCGGGCGGCGCGGGCGGCTCGGGCGGCTCGGGCGGCTCGGGCGGCTCGGGCGGCTCGGGGGCTGGGGCGGCTCGGGCGGCTCGCGCGGCTCGGGCGGCTCGGGCGGCTCGGGCGGCTCGGGTTGCTGGGGCGGCGCGGGCGGCTCGGGCTGTTGGGCTGTCCGGGCGGCTCGTGCGGCGCTGGTGTCGCGGGCGGCTGCACAGGCGGCTCAGGGACGGCGGCGTGGGCGGCTCAGGGAGCTCACGGGCGGCTGCGACGGGCGGCTCGCGGGCGTCGGGCGCTAGGGCGTTGGGGCGACGACGGGCGGCGCTCAGGCGTTCGGGCGGGCGGCCGTAAGGGCGAAAGGGCGGTCGGCGCTCGGGCGCTAGGGCGGGCGGCCGGCCGTCAGGGCGCTAGGGCGGGCGGCCGTCAGGGCGCTAGGGCGGGCTGCGTTCGGGCGCTAGGGCGGGCGGCCGTTAGGGCGCTAGGGCGAGTGGCGCACGGGCGCTAGGGCGGGCGGCCGTCAGGGCGCTAGGGCGAGCGGCGCTCGGGCGCTAGGGCGGGCGGCCGTCAGGGCTCTAGGGCGGGCGGCGCTCGGGCGCTAGGGCGGGCGGCGCTCGGGCGCTAGGGCGGGCGGCGCTCGGGCGCTAGGGCGGGCGGCGCTCGGGCGCTGGGGCGGGCGGCCGTCAGGGCGCTAGGGCGGGCGGCCGTCAGGGCGCTAGGGCGGGCGGCCGTCAGGGCGCTAGGGCGGGCGGCCGTCAGGGCACTAGGGCGGGCGGCCGTAAGAGGAGTGAGCGGCGGGAGCGCGACGGTAGGGGCGACACGCAGGGTCGCTAAAAAAAAGAACGCGCGCCTCGGGGCGCGCTTCGGTGGGCCCTAGGAACAGTCCCTAGGAGGGGACCTGCTCTGATTCCATGAGAAGAATTGAACGAGAATGAAATGACTATGAACGAAGTGAGTACAAATAGGAAACCCTAATTGGGTTGTACCCCCTATGGGATACCCCACTATAGCCTACACAAATAAGTAAGCTATATGTTCTGACACACCATGCGGCCTTGAGGTCTGACACGAGCCCCATATTTACCCAAAGTACCAACTAATCCTATCCCAGAAATAAAGCCTGTATTCGGCAGGTCAAAGGCATTTTTTTTTTTGCAAAAAAGTCCTCATATCTTCAATCCACGAGGGTACACTTTGCAGCCACGATGGCAAGGTGAGAGCCACGCGGCTCTGGTACAGTCGCTCAACTACTAAAATTCACATTACGGTGCAGTTATCTTGAGACAAATGGGGGAGACATCCGCATCGTAGTACGAGTTACTGGGTCAAACCAAGGAAGGTACGGTTAGTACGTTTAGTAAATAGTAGCTTAGTGAGCCGGAGGGCTAGCGCAGCACGTGGTTATCCTGCCGTTCGTCGCGACTAGGGAATAGGTAGAGCTAGGGGACCCAGAAAAGAGCTCGCTTTCGCAACTTACGAAAGCAACTAGGGTGACTCGGATCCGACATTCGTGCGACTCGCTTGATGGTGACTGCCCCGAACACACACCAAAGCGAAAAACGTTGAGACAGCCGTAGAAAGTGCAAACGGACTCGGCGAACCAGCTACTAGCTTAGCTATTAGCTTACGCACGACATCGACAAACCTAGTGCCGTCCTCAAAGTGCACCCTCTTCCCGCTACAGTTCCGACAGCATCATAGGCAGCGACGGTAGTGAAAGCTCCCACAAGACCCTGACAACGCGACGAGCACCACCAGCAGCAGGCCCGCGGCCGTGCTGGGAAACACAAAACTGGGGGCAGCTTTCTCGACACACGAAACTGGGAGCAGATCAAAGCGGAGGGCTGCTAGTGCCGCGCGAGCGACAGAGGCAGGAGGGGTGACATACAGACGGGGGACCACAAAGGCAACATCGGTGAGTGGTATGGACGTGCACGGAGGAGAGTGTGGGACGGACGGGAGCGAGGCGATGGCGGAAGAGGGGGCGGAGTGGGAGGCGGTTAAGGGCGGAAGAACGGACGGAGCTGCACAGGAGGAGGTCGTTGTTACGTTGGGGGAGGGGAGGGATGGAGTTGATAGCTTTGGACCGAACCTTGGTAAGACCGAGGAAATACAAGGTGGGGACACAAAGGAGGTAGCGGGGAGAGAGGAGGAGGTGGTTGCAGGGAAGGAGGAGGAGGAGGAAGGGGTGGAGGAGAGCGAGTTGCGGGATGTGGTGGCACCGATGCCGGTGATTGGGGGGGAAGCACAGGGTGCATGTGGGGGTGCCGCGGAGAGCAGTGGGGAGGAGTTCAGGGGGATGGTGGTGGCAGCAGCAGGGTTGGCAGCGGGCAAGGCAAGGCGGCGTGTGCGGTTTGAGGAGGGGGAGAAGGGCCTGCATGGGCTGGCAGCGCTGAGGCTGCGGCAGCACGTGCCCCCCCGCACACACGCGGCAGCAGAGGACGGGTCGGTGGGGGGCAGCAAGGGGGGAGGGGCAGAGGCAGGCGTGGGGTGGGCGGGTGGCAGGGCAAGCGATGGCGGCAGCAGCAGTGCTGGTGGGCTGGCTGGTGGAGGGCTGCTTGGGCGACCTCCCCCGTTGGCGCGAGCCACTAGTGACTGCTCGTGGGAGATGCGGCGAGTGGCCTTACTGGGGGCACAGCACGGCACTCCACGCGCATCGGCCGCTCACTCGCACCTCAAGTTCTCAGACGCCCTGGACCAGCTCGAGCAGCAACTGGGCCACTCCACCCCAACCAGGGAGGACGCCGCCTCTCACGCCAAAGACTGGGACGAGCAGCGAGGCGAGGTGAGGGCTCACCACCGTGCTCGAAAAACAAGCCATTTGTTCTTTCCTTCTCACTATCCACCCCACCTTTCCGCATACATGCACACCGGTTTCTGCTCAAAAGGCTGTTATGAAATGAATTCCCTTTTTCGCTTTATGTATCCTGGCTACCCAGCTATATCGGCCGCCTGTTTAGTCGGTGAACGCATGTTTTTCAGGGTAGGAATTGCGAAAAGTCACTCTACACCGGGAGCGAGACGGCGTGGGAAAATACAGGTGGTACGAGTGGTCGTATCGTTCCTTGTGTTCTTTGGCACTTGCGTCTACACAAAATTCGACAATAGTTCATCAACAAATACTGAGAACAATTATGCACAATGGTAATGGCAAAACGGCTACCTCTGGGCTCTAGGAGTCTAGCATGCAAGCAGGTCTACCTCCCGGCGCAGCAAGTCGGAGGCTTGCCAGTGCAGCAAGTCGCCGGCGCGCCCACGCAGCTGGAGGGCGGTCTGTCAACGTTGCAAGTCGGCGATCTGTCAACGCTGCACCACGCAGATTGCCAATGCTGCAGCAAGGCGGCTTGGTAGTTTGCAACTGCATGTAACTACAGCGCACATGCACGCACCCACTTCGGAGGTGCGGTTCGACGGTTGGACACGTCGAGCATCGTCCCAACCATTGTGCGGGTCACAAGTCGGTCACACGTCGACGGTTGCGCCTAATGCACCACGACGCGCGCACATGATGTTGTCACGTAGGTCGGCTTCATCAGAACCACCTGGACGACGTTCTTGCACCCCCGCAGAACTTCGTTGACTAGGTAGCTTTGTCGACCAGAGGAGGTCGCTCAATCGGCATTCGTAGGCCGCCGTCCTACTAACGATCACCTTCGTCAACCGCCTGAACTCAACGTCATCCGCTGAGTTCACTTCGTCGGCTTCACAGTGGTCGGCTCCGCCCAAGTCGGCTAACCGTCGTAGCCGGCTAACCAAGCCGATTCAATCTTCCAAGTCGGTGTCGACTACATAGTTGAATCCGCAGTTCGTTTAAGTCTGCTTCGCAATAGTCGGTTTCACCGAAGTCGGCTATTCGACGAAGTCGGCTCCGCCGATGTCGGCTCCACCGAGGGCGGCGAACCAAGCCGACTTGTTCCTCCAAGTCGGCGCCGATCACGAAGCCTAGCCGGCTGCACACCTTGTAAGCTGGACAATGAAGCCGGTTTTGCCCAAGCAAGGGTGGGTCTTTTCCCGCCAACAGGAATGTCATCACGAAGCAGTGTCACCGCCTCAACACTGAGTATGCACAAACATGCATGATCTTCAAATCTTAATTTATGCCAATAAGATGGTAACCCTGACCATCGTACTCTCAAAATGGAGATGAGTTGTGCTTCCAGGAAGAGGAGTGAGCGAGGATGAGGGATACACAATGGTTGTGAATAAATCATTGAAACAGGAATGGTTAGAAGCCCCCGGATTTTTCTATTATCTCAAAAACAATTTACGGTTATCAGTGTTTAGGTCGAGCAGCATAAATGCATTGACACGAAGGGTTCTTAACTTCCCCTCCTTCCCCTAAACAGGTATGGAGCTCCCAAGGGCCACCAGCCGGAAGGAATGTGGCAACTGGGGCAGAAGAAGTAGAGGGTGGGGGCACAGAGGAGGTGGTGGAGAGGGAGGAGGAGGAGGAAGGGGTGGAGGAGAGCGAGTTGCGGGATGTGGTGGCACCGATGCCGGTGATTGGGGGGGAAGCACAGGGTGCATGTGGGGGTGCCGCGGAGAGCAGTGGGGAGGAGTTCAGGGGGATGGTGGTGGCAGCAGCAGGGTTGGCAGCGGGCAAGGCAAGGCGGTGTGTGCGGTTTGAGGAGGGGGAGAAGGGCCTGCATGGGCTGGCAGCGCTGAGGCTGCGGCAGCACGTGCCCCCCCGCACACACGCGGCAGCAGAGGACGGGTCGGTGGGGGGCAGCAAGGGGGGAGGGGCAGAGGCAGGCGTGGGGTGGGCGGGTGGCAGGGCAAGCGATGGCGGCAGCAGCAGTGCTGGTGGGCTGGCTGGTGGAGGGCTGCTTGGGCGACCTCCCCCGTTGGCGCGAGCCACTAGTGACTGCTCGTGGGAGATGCGGCGAGTGGCCTTACTGGGGGCACAGCACGGCACTCCACGCGCATCGGCCGCTCACTCGCACCTCAAGTTCTCAGACGCCCTGGACCAGCTCGAGCAGCAACTGGGCCACTCCACCCCAACCAGGGAGGACGCCGCCTCTCACGCCAAAGACTGGGACGAGCAGCGAGGCGAGGTGAGGGCTCACCACCGTGCTCAAGCAACGAACCAGTTTCTCTCTCCCTAATGCTATCAGGCCAGGTGAGGGCTCACCGCCGTGCTCAAGCAACGAACCAGTTTCTCTCTCCCTAATGCTATCAGGCCAGGTGAGGGCTCACCGCCGTGCTCAAGCAACGAACCAGTTTCTCTCTCCCTAATGCTATCAGGCCAGGTGAGTGCGTACCATCAGGTTGAGGCAACAATTCAATTACTCTCTCCTTCATCGTTGTCTGCCCTACCTTTGTCCCCAAGAGAATTAATGCTGGACCTGTGAAGACTGTAATTGAAGGCTCGGGTTGAAAATGAAGGGTGTTTGATTTAGGTTAGTCAGTTTCAACGGACAAACGACTACTTGCGAAGAGCTTGCTGCTCAGGGCAAAATGAATGAACCCCATAGGGAATGGCATGCAATCATGGGAAGTGTAATCTAAGCACCTCGTCACATGGGGGGAGGAGAAGACAAGTCCAGGAGATTGCCGTTCCTTCAGCTGGTTGTCACTCAATGGTCTTGGATCACTTGAAGTGTCACTAAGTTTGAGACGAATAAAAGACACTGACTGGGCTTAATTTATCGTACGTACGTACAAACACACAACTGCACAATGAGATCATACTAGACATAATGAGCGTGCTCTTAACCCGAAGTTATTTACCCTTCTGTTTGTAAATCAATGCCTCGTGGTATCTAATCTAACCCCTTCCTCTTTCAATCATTCCGTGACATTTTTTTTGCTCAGTTATTGCTCTCAACGCTCCTTCCAAGCACAACTCATATCTGAGGTTGAATTTACGACAATCAGCAGGGTCACCCAACCAACTTGTTCGCAACGCATCTTGGCAGCGAGTTGGATGACCCTGGCTGTGGTACTTTCAATCTGGGAGATGAGATGTGCTTAGGAGAACTGGAAATATCTATGGGGGGGGGGGGAGGGGGGGGAGAGAATACTGCCAGCATATAAATAATGGAGTATGTTAGAAACCAAGGGTGTTGATTTAGGTCGCACAAAAATACGGGTGAATGTTTTGGGGCTAGCAGCACAAAGTACTCGCTCACACATTGACATGACATGAGCAGTTGACGGCTGCCTCAAGCTGCAGTTGGTTCGAGCCGAACCATCTGTACTGAAATTTATTATCCGAACGATTTTAGACCGAACTAGTTCGTGTTGAAGAGAGATGAGGTCACTCTGTTATGTGGTTTGTGCGTGTGCTGATTCAAGCCTTATCTTTCCTATGCTGAGTGACAGTAAGTTGATGGATTCTTAGCTACCTTAACTTTGCCTCTCTCTCTTCCCCTCACCAGGTGTGGAGCTCCCAAGGGCCACCAGCACAGGGAAAGGCGACAGTGGGGGCAGAGGGAGGCGAGGGTGGGGGCACAGAGGAGGTGGTGGGGAGGAAGGAGGAGGAGGAGAAGGAAGGAGTGGTTGCAGGGAAGGAGGAGGAGGAGGAAGGGGTGGAAGAGAGCGAGTTGCGGGATGTGGTGGCACCGATGCCAGTGCTTGGCGGGGGAGGACAGGGTGCATGTGGGGGTGGTGCGGAGAGCAGTGGGGAGGAGTTGATGGGGGAGGTGGCAGCAGCAGGGTTGGCAGCGGGCAAGGCAAGGCGGCGTGTGCGGTTTGAGGAGGGGGAGAAGGGCCTGCATGGGCTGGCAGCGCTGAGGCTGCGGCAGCACGTGCCCCCCCGCACACACGCGGCAGCAGAGGACGGGTCGGTGGGGGGCAGCAAGGGGGGAGGGGCAGAGGCAGGCGTGGGGTGGGCGGGTGGCAGGGCAAGCGATGGCGGCAGCAGCAGTGCTGGTGGGCTGGCTGGTGGAGGGCTGCTTGGGCGACCTCCCCCGTTGGCGCGAGCCACTAGTGACTGCTCGTGGGAGATGCGGCGAGTGGCCTTACTGGGGGCACAGCACGGCACTCCACGCGCATCTGCCGCTCACTCGCACCTCAAGTTCTCAGACGCCCTGGACCAGCTCGAGCAGCAACTGGGCCACTCCACCCCAACCAGGGAGGAGGGCGCCTCGCACACCAACGAGTGGGACGAGCAGTCAGGCCAGGTGAGCCTCAACGCCATGCTCAGGCAACAAATTACTCGCTCTCTCCTTCACGTCATCTTCCCCACCTTGCCCCTTCAATTTGTTGAGTGGTACGTGGTACGTACTTGAAGGCTTGGTCGAACCGAACCCGAGCCTTTTCGACCAAGGTGATCAAGATTCGATCCCAGGCATGGCCACTGCTTTCTGCTCAAACATTCACCTTTGTCCTTCTGGCAGTACTTTCGTGCTGCTCGCTCTAAACCTTAAATCCTTTAAGCTTATCATCCGAAATTAATCACTCGTGGTTTCTAACCGCTTCTTCTTCTTTCAATCATACCATGACAGAATTCTTAGCTCCGTCCTCGCTCACATCTCTAGTTCCATGACAGAATTCTTATCTGCTATGTTGAAATTACGACATTTGAGGTCACCTAACTAGCTGCGAACACAGGCGGCAAACCATGACCTCATGTCGTGGTTGGTTATGGTTTGCTACTCGGTAGCCGAGTTTCAATCTGGGAGATGAGTTGTGCATAGGAGAAGATGATTGTGCACGGAGGAAGGAGCCAATAAAATTGTCAGCATATGGCTGAAGGATGAGTATATTGGAAATTAGACATGGGCAACGCGTCGGGTCAGGTCGACCCGTACCCGTTGTTGGTGACCCGTGACGGGTACGGGAACGGGTGGGGTCGACCCGCGGGTCGCTAACCTGGCTATTCTAGTGACCCGTCCCGTCTATACATGTACGGGTCGAGTGTGACCCGTGGCGGGTCGGGTTAACCCGTACACGGGACGGGTAACAATGACCCGTATAGGCCTTAAGGGTTTCTTTCCAGCATACATGGTTTTTTTTCTCTGCAGTCGCGCGCACCCTTCTCTGCAGATCTGCGCGCTGTGCTCTCTGCAGACGCGCGCGAACTGTGTTGTTTCCGCGCGCGGTCCTTTGCAGCCGTGCGCGTTGCTCCACGCAGCTGCCGTAAGAGTAGCGGCGCGCGCTGCTCTAATGCACCGTGATAAATCGGACCCTGGCTGATGTAGGACAGATTGCGTTAATCTAGGCTTTCAGTTAAGTTTCTTCGTCAAAGAATCTGCAGTAGTTGTAAGGATTAGGTCTAAGATTAGATCTGGTTAGTTGCAACTAGATCTGAAGTTGGGTTGACCAACAATGGCCTAGAATTTGGATTGACATATGCAGGTCCCGTTCCACCTGCAAACGGGTTGGGACAACCCGACCCGTTTTTCCCGGTAACGACCCGTATACGAAACGGGTCGTTCTCCCCCTACGGGTCGCACGGGTCACCCCGTCCCGTTCGAATGGGGTTAAAACGGGTCATGGGTCGACCCGACCCGTCCGGGACAGGTCGATCCGTACTCGCGGGTCGGCATGTCTTGGCAATCCGACCCGTCCCGCCAAATAATGCGGGACGGGACGGGTTGACCCGACCCGTCTGGTCTTATGCCCATGTCTAACAGAAACCAAGAGTATTCAACTTATGTTCAAGTTCAAGGTCTGGGGCGAGCAGCACGTAAGTGCTCGAGATTCGAACCGAATTGGAAGGCTTGGCCGAACCCAACCCGAGCCGTTTCGACCAACGTGGTCGAGATTCGAACTCATACATGGCCACGACTTTCTGCTCAAACATTCACCTTTATCCTCGTGGTGGTCTTTGTGCTAGTCCAAACTTTATAAAGGTACGATAGGTTTTCAGTAGAGGCACATTACACACCCTTTTCTGGCTGTGGTACTTTTAATCTGGGAGATGGGTTGTGCTTAGGAAATGAGGAAATATCTAGGCGGAGCATGTTAGATACCAAGGGTGTTTGATTTGGGTCGCATAAATTTTCGGGTCAAAGGTTTGGGGCCAGCAGCACCAAGTACTCGCTCACACATTGACATGACATGAGCAACAACCAAACTCAAACTTGTTACTCAAGCAAACCGAATCACATTGACATGACATCGCCGGACCAAAAGATTTCATGTTCAACAATGTTTGTGGCCAACATTCTACCAGTTAAGTCGAATTGTTTGAAGTTCAAACCGAACTGGAACGGTTTGGCAGTAACATTCGTTCTAGTCATATTCATTCAGACGCTAATTCTTCTTATTTGCATGATACTGTGCGGGGGGCCGTGGAGGCACGGAAATGGTTGGTACGCTGGAGTGTGCTAATCTAGTCGAACCCAGCAGAACAGCTGACTCAAGCTGCAGACGTTTAAAGCCGAACTATTTTTACTGAAATTTTTAAATTGAACGATTTTAGGACAAACCAGCTCGTGTAGAACAGAGATGAGGTGACGCTGTTGCGTGGTTTGTGTGTATGCTGATTCAAGCCTTAATTCTTCTTAAGCTGAGTGACAACAAGTTGACGGATTCTTAGCTACCTTAATTTTGCCTCTCTTCCCTTCAGCAGGCGTGGACTTCCCAAGTTCCACCAGCAGAGGGAAAGGCGGCAGTGTGGGCGGAGGGAGGCGAGGGTGGGGGAACATCTGAGGTGGTGGGGAGGGAGGAGGAGGAGGAGAAGGAAGGGGTGGTTGCAGTGGGGGAGGAGGAGGAGGAAGGGGTGGAGGAGAGCGAGTTGCGGGATGTGGTGGCACCGATGCCAGTGATTGGGGGGGAAGCACAGGGTGCATGTGGGGGTGGTGCGGAGTTGAGGGGGGAGGTGGCAGCAGCAGGGTTGGCAGCGGGCAAGGCAAGGTGGCGTGTGCGGTTTGAGGAGGGGGAGAAGGGCCTGCATGGGCTGGCAGCGCTGAGGCTGCGGCAGCACGTGCCCCCCCGCACACACGCGGCAGCAGAGGACGGGTCGGTGGGGGGCAGCAAGGGGGGAGGGGCAGAGGCAGGCGTGGGGTGGGCGGGTGGCAGGGCAAGTGATGGCGGCAGCAGCAGTGCTGGTGGGCTGGCTGGTGGAGGGCTGCTTGGGCGACCTCCCCCGTTGGCGCGAGCCACTAGTGACTGCTCGTGGGAGATGCGGCGAGTGGCCTTACTGGGGGCACAGCACGGCACTCCACGCGCATCGGCCGCTCACTCGCACCTCAAGTTCTCAGACGCCCTGGACCAGCTCGAGCAGCAGCTGGGCCAGTCCACCCCAACCAGGGAGGACGCCGCCTCTCACGCCAAAGACTGGGACGAGCAGCGAGGCGAGGTGAGGGCTCACCACCGTTCTTGAAAAACAAGCCATTTGTTCTTTCCTTCTCACTATCCACCCCACCTTTCCGCATACATGCACACCGGTTTCTGCTCAAAAGGCTGTTATGAAATGAATTCCCTTTTTCGCTTTATGTATCCTGGCTACCCAGCTATATCGGCCGCCTGTTTAGTCGGTGAACGCATGTTTTTCAGGGTAGGAATTGCGAAAAGTCACTCTACACCGGGAGCGAGACGGCGTGGGAAAATACAGGTGGTACGAGTGGTCGTATCGTTCCTTGTGTTCTTTGGCACTTGCGTCTACACAAAATTCGACAATAGTTCATCAACAAATACTGAGAACAATTATGCACAATGGTAATGGCAAAACGGCTACCTCTGGGCTCTAGGAGTCTAGCATGCAAGCAGGTCTACCTCCCGGCGCAGCAAGTCGGAGGCTTGCCAGCGCAGCAAGTCGCCGGCGCGCCCACGCAGCTGGAGGGCGGTCTGTCAACGTTTCAAGTCGGCGATCTGTCAACGCTGCACCACGCAGATTTCCAATGCTGCAGCAAGGCGGCTTGGTAGTTTGCAACTGCATGTAACTACAGCGCACATGCACGCACCCACTTCGGAGGTGCGGTTCGACGGTTGGACACGTCGAGCATCGTCCCAACCATTGTGCGGGTCACAAGTCGGTCACACGTCGACGGTTGCGCCTAATGCACCACGACGCGCGCACATGATGTTGTCACGTAGGTCGGCTTCGTCAGAACCACCTGGACGACGTTCTTGCACCCCCGCAGAACTTCGTTGACTAGGTAGCTTTGTCGACCAGAGGAGGTCGCTCAATCGGCATTCGTAGGCCGCCGTCCTACTAACGATCACCTTCGTCAACCGCCTGAACTCAACGTCATCCGCTGAGTTCACTTCGTCGGCTTCACAGTGGTCGGCTCCGCCCAAGTCGGCTAACCGTCGTAGCCGGCTAACCAAGCCGATTCAATCTTCCAAGTCGGTGTCGACTACATAGTTGAATCCGCAGTTCGTTTAAGTCTGCTTCGCAATAGTCGGTTTCACCGAAGTCGGCTATTCGACGAAGTCGGCTCCACCGAGGGCGGCGAACCAAGCCGACTTGTTCCTCCAAGTCGGCGCCGATCACGAAGCCTAGCCGGCTGCACACCTTGTAAGCTGGACAATGGAGCCGGTTTTGCCCAAGCAAGGGTGGGTCTTTTCCCGCCAACAGGAATGTCATCACGAAGCAGTGTCACCGCCTCAACACTGAGTATGCACAAACATGCATGATCTTCAAATCTTAATTTATGCCAATAAGATGGTAACCCTGACCATCGTACTCTCAAAATGGAGATGAGTTGTGCTTCCAGGAAGAGGAGTGAGCGAGGATGAGGGATACACAATGGTTGTGAAGAAATCATTGAAACAGGAATGGTTAGAAGCCCCCGGATTTTTCTATTATCTCAAAAACAATTTACGGTTATCAGTGTTTAGGTCGAGCAGCATAAATGCATTGACACGAAGGGTTCTTAACTTCCCCTCCTTCCCCTAAACAGGTATGGAGCTCCCAAGGGCCACCAGCCGGAAGGAATGTGGCAACTGGGGCAGAAGAAGTAGAGGGTGGGGGCACAGAGGAGGTGGTGGAGAGGGAGGAGGAGGAGGAAGGGGTGGAGGAGAGCGAGTTGCGGGATGTGGTGGCACCGATGCCGGTGATTGGGGGGGAAGCACAGGGTGCATGTGGGGGTGCCGCGGAGAGCAGTGGGGAGGAGTTCAGGGGGATGGTGGTGGCAGCAGCAGGGTTGGCAGCGGGCAAGGCAAGGCGGCGTGTGCGGTTTGAGGAGGGGGAGAAGGGCCTGCATGGGCTGGCAGCGCTGAGGCTGCGGCAGCACGTGCCCCCCCGCACACACGCGGCAGCAGAGGGCGGGTCGGTGGGGGGCAGCAAGGGGGGAGGGGCAGAGGCAGGCGTGGGGTGGGCGGGTGGCAGGGCAAGCGATGGCGGCAGCAGCAGTGCTGGTGGGCTGGCTGGTGGAGGGCTGCTTGGGCGACCTCCCCCGTTGGCGCGAGCCACTAGTGACTGCTCGTGGGAGATGCGGCGAGTGGCCTTACTGGGGGCACAGCACGGCACTCCACGCGCATCGGCCGCTCACTCGCACCTCAAGTTCTCAGACGCCCTGGACCAGCTCGAGCAGCAACTGGGCCACTCCACCCCAACCAGGGAGGACGCCGCCTCTCACGCCAAAGACTGGGACGAGCAGCGAGGCGAGGTGAGGGCTCACCACCGTGCTCAAGCAACGAACCAGTTTCTCTCTCCCTAATGCTATCAGGCCAGGTGAGGGCTCACCGCCGTGCTCAAGCAACGAACCAGTTTCTCTCTCCCTAATGCTATCAGGCCAGGTGAGGGCTCACCGCCGTGCTCAAGCAACGAACCAGTTTCTCTCTCCCTAATGCTATCAGGCCAGGTGAGTGCGTACCATCATGTTGAGGCAACAATTCAATTACTCTCTCCTTCATCGTTGTCTGCCCTACCTTTGTCCCCAAGAGAATTAATGCTGGACCTGTGAAGACTGTAATTGAAGGCTCGGGTTGAAAATGAAGGGTGTTTGATCTAGGTTAGTCAGTTTCAACGGACAAACGACTACTTGCGAAGAGCTTGCTGCTCAGGGCAAAATGAATGAACCCCATAGGGAATGGCATGCAATCATGGGAAGTGTAATCTAAGCACCTCGTTACATGGGGGGAGGAGAAGACAAGTCCAGGAGATTGCCGTTCCTTCAGCTGGTTGTCACTCAATGGTCTTGGATCACTTGAAGTGTCACTAAGTTTGAGACGAATAAAAGACACTGACTGGGCTTAATTTATCGTACGTACGTACAAACACACAACTGCACAATGAGATCATACTAGACATAATGAGCGTGCTCTTAACTCGAAGTTATTTACCCTTCTGTTTGTAAATCAATGCCTCGTGGTATCTAATCTAACCCCTTCCTCTTTCAATCATTCCGTGACATTTTTTTTGCTCAGTTATTGCTCTCAACGCTCCTTCCAAGCACAACTCATATCTGAGGTTGAATTTACGACAATCAGCAGGGTCACCCAACCAACTTGTTCGCAACGCATCTTGGCAGCGAGTTGGATGACCCTGGCTGTGGTACTTTCAATCTGGGAGATGAGATGTGCTTAGGAGAACTGGAAATATCTATGGGGGGGGGGGAGGGGGGGGAGAGAATACTGCCAGCATATAAATAATGGAGTATGTTAGAAACCAAGGGTGTTGATTTAGGTCGCACAAAAATACGGGTGAATGTTTTGGGGCTAGCAGCACAAAGTACTCGCTCACACATTGACATGACATGAGCAGTTGACGGCTGCCTCAAGCTGCAGTTGGTTCGAGCCGAACCATCTGTACTGAAATTTATTATCCGAACGATTTTAGACCGAACTAGTTCGTGTTGAAGAGAGATGAGGTCACTCTGTTATGTGGTTTGTGCGTGTGCTGATTCAAGCCTTATCTTTCCTATGCTGAGTGACAGTAAGTTGATGGATTCTTAGCTACCTTAACTTTGCCTCTCTCTCTTCCCCTCACCAGGTGTGGAGCTCCCAAGGGCCACCAGCACAGGGAAAGGCGACAGTGGGGGCAGAGGGAGGCGAGGGTGGGGGCACAGAGGAGGTGGTGGGGAGGAAGGAGGAGGAGGAGAAGGAAGGAGTGGTTGCAGGGAAGGAGGAGGAGGAGGAAGGGGTGGAAGAGAGCGAGTTGCGGGATGTGGTGGCACCGATGCCAGTGCTTGGCGGGGGAGGACAGGGTGCATGTGGGGGTGGTGCGGAGAGCAGTGGGGAGGAGTTGATGGGGGAGGTGGCAGCAGCAGGGTTGGCAGCGGGCAAGGCAAGGCGGCGTGTGCGGTTTGAGGAGGGGGAGAAGGGCCTGCATGGGCTGGCAGCGCTGAGGCTGCGGCAGCACGTGCCCCCCCGCACACACGCGGCAGCAGAGGACGGGTCGGTGGGGGGCAGCAAGGGGGGAGGGGCAGAGGCAGGCGTGGGATGGGCGGGTGGCAGGGCAAGCGATGGCGGCAGCAGCAGTGCTGGTGGGCTGGCTGGTGGAGGGCTGCTTGGGCGACCTCCCCCGTTGGCGCGAGCCACTAGTGACTGCTCGTGGGAGATGCGGCGAGTGGCCTTACTGGGGGCACAGCACGGCACTCCACGCGCATCTGCCGCTCACTCGCACCTCAAGTTCTCAGACGCCCTGGACCAGCTCGAGCAGCAACTGGGCCACTCCACCCCAACCAGGGAGGAGGGCGCCTCGCACACCAACGAGTGGGACGAGCAGTCAGGCCAGGTGAGCCTCAACGCCATGCTCAGGCAACAAATTACTCGCTCTCTCCTTCACGTCATCTTCCCCACCTTGCCCCTTCAATTTGTTGAGTGGTACGTGGTACGTACTTGAAGGCTTGGTCGAACCGAACCCGAGCCTTTTCGACCAAGGTGATCAAGATTCGATCCCAGGCATGGCCACTGCTTTCTGCTCAAACATTCACCTTTGTCCTTCTGGCAGTACTTTCGTGCTGCTCGCTCTAAACCTTAAATCCTTTAAGCTTATCATCCGAAATTAATCACTCGTGGTTTCTAACCGCTTCTTCTTCTTTCAATCATACCATGACAGAATTCTTAGCTCCGTCCTCGCTCACATCTCTAGTTCCATGACAGAATTCTTATCTGCTATGTTGAAATTACGACATTTGAGGTCACCTAACTAGCTGCGAACACAGGCGGCAAACCATGACCTCATGTCGTGGTTGGTTATGGTTTGCTACTCGGTAGCCGAGTTTCAATCTGGGAGATGAGTTGTGCATAGGAGAAGAGGATTGTGCACGGAGGAAGGAGCCAATAAAATTGTCAGCATATGGCTGAAGGATGAGTATATTGGAAATTAGACATGGGCAACGCGTCGGGTCAGGTCGACCCGTACCTGTTGTTGGTGACCCGTGACGGGTACGGGAACGGGTGGGGTCGACCCGCGGGTCGCTAACCTGGCTATTCTAGTGACCCGTCCCGTCTATACATGTACGGGTCGAGTGTGACCCGTGGCGGGTCGGGTTAACCCGTACACGGGACGGGTAACAATGACCCGTATAGGCCTTAAGGGTTTCTTTCCAGCATACATGGTTTTTTTTCTCTGCAGTCGCGCGCACCCTTCTCTGCAGATCTGCGCGCTGTGCTCTCTGCAGACGCGCGCGAACTGTGTTGTTTCCGCGCGCGGTCCTTTGCAGCCGTGCGCGTTGCTCCACGCAGCTGCCGTAAGAGTAGCGGCGCGCGCTGCTCTAATGCACCGTGATAAATCGGACCCTGGCTGATGTAGGACAGATTGCGTTAATCTAGGCTTTCAGTTAAGTTTCTTCGTCAAAGAATCTGCAGTAGTTGTAAGGATTAGGTCTAAGATTAGATCTGGTTAGTTGCAACTAGATCTGAAGTTGGGTTGACCAACAATGGCCTAGAATTTGGATTGGCATATGCAGGTCCCGTTCCACCTGCAAACGGGTTGGGACAACCCGACCCGTTTTTCCCGGTAACGACCCGTATACGAAACGGGTCGTTCTCCCCCTACGGGTCGCATGGGTCACCCCGTCCCGTTCGAATGGGGTTAAAACGGGTCACGGGTCGACCCGACCCGTCTGGGACAGGTCGATCCGTACTCGCGGGTCGGCATGTCTTGGCAATCCGACCCGTCCCGCCAAATAATGCGGGACGGGACGGGTTGACCCGACCCGTCTGGTCTTATGCCCATGTCTAACAGAAACCAAGAGTATTCAACTTATGTTCAAGTTCAAGGTCTGGGGCGAGCAGCACGTAAGTGCTCGAGATTCGAACCGAATTGGAAGGCTTGGCCGAACCCAACCCGAGCCGTTTCGACCAACGTGGTCGAGATTCGAACTCATACATGGCCACGACTTTCTGCTCAAACATTCACCTTTATCCTCGTGGTGGTCTTTGTGCTAGTCCAAACTTTATAAAGGTACGATAGGTTTTCAGTAGAGGCACATTACACACCCTTTTCTGGCTGTGGTACTTTTAATATCGGAGATGGGTTGTGCTTAGGAAATGAGGAAATATCTAGGCGGAGCATGTTAGATACCAAGGGTGTTTGATTTGGGTCGCATAAATTTTCGGGTCAAAGGTTTGGGGCCAGCAGCACCAAGTACTCGCTCACACATTGACATGACATGAGCAACAACCAAACTCAAACTTGTTACTCAAGCAAACCAGTTCGGTTCGAGTCGAACCGAATCGCCGGACCAAAAGATTTAATGTTCAACAATGTTTGTGGCCAACATTCTACCAGTTAAGTCGAATTGTTTGAAGTTCAAACCGAACTGGAACGGTTTGGCAGTAACATTCGTTCTAGTCATATTCATTCAGACGCTAATTCTTTTTATTTGCATGATACTGTGCGGGGGGCCGTGGAGGCACGGAAATGGTTGGTACGCTGGAGTGTGCTAATCTAGTCGAACCCAGCAGAACAGCTGACTCAAGCTGCAGACGTTTAAAGCCGAACTATTTTTACTGAAATTTTTAAATTGAACGATTTTAGGACAAACCAGCTCGTGTAGAACAGAGATGAGGTGACGCTGTTGCGTGGTTTGTGTGTATGCTGATTCAAGCCTTAATTCTTCTTAAGCTGAGTGACAACAAGTTGACGGATTCTTAGCTACCTTAATTTTGCCTCTCTTCCCTTCAGCAGGCGTGGACTTCCCAAGTTCCACCAGCAGAGGGAAAGGCGGCAGTGTGGGCGGAGGGAGGCGAGGGTGGGGGAACATCTGAGGTGGTGGGGAGGGAGGAGGAGGAGGAGAAGGAAGGGGTGGTTGCAGTGGGGGAGGAGGAGGAGGAAGGGGTGGAGGAGAGCGAGTTGCGGGATGTGGTGGCACCGATGCCAGTGATTGGGGGGGAAGCACAGGGTGCATGTGGGGGTGGTGCGGAGTTGAGGGGGGAGGTGGCAGCAGCAGGGTTGGCAGCGGGCAAGGCAAGGTGGCGTGTGCGGTTTGAGGAGGGGGAGAAGGGCCTGCATGGGCTGGCAGCGCTGAGGCTGCGGCAGCACGTGCCCCCCCGCACACACGCGGCAGCAGAGGACGGGTCGGTGGGGGGCAGCAAGGGGGGAGGGGCAGAGGCAGGCGTGGGGTGGGCGGGTGGCAGGGCAAGCGATGGCGGCAGCAGCAGTGCTGGTGGGCTGGCTGGTGGAGGGCTGCTTGGGCGACCTCCCCCGTTGGCGCGAGCCACTAGTGACTGCTCGTGGGAGATGCGGCGAGTGGCCTTACTGGGGGCACAGCACGGCACTCCACGCGCATCGGCCGCTCACTCGCACCTCAAGTTCTCAGACGCCCTGGACCAGCTCGAGCAGCAGCTGGGCCAGTCCACCCCAACCAGGGAGGAGGGCGCCTCGCACACCAACGAGTGGGACGACCAACCATGCCAGGTGAGTCTCACCACTATGCTCAGGCAAGAAACCACGCACTCTCCTCTCCCCTTCATTATCTGCCCCACCTAGCCCCTTCAAAATGTCGAGTGGTACGCTCGAAATTCATCACTCGTGGTTTCTAACCGCTTCCATTTTCAATCAAACCTTGACAGAATTCATAGGTCTGTCCTCGCTCACATCTCTTCTTCCCAGCACAATTCATCCCCTAGGTTGAAATTACGACAATCGGGGTGTGAACACAAGTGGCAAACCATGACCTCATGTCATGCTTGGTTATGGTTTGCTACTCATTATTGTAGCAGGTTGGGTGACCCTAACTGTGGTACTTTCAATCTGGTAGATGAGTTGTGCTTAGGAGAAGAGGAAAGTCCAAGGAGGAGGGAGCGAAAACATTGTTAGCATATGATTGAGGGAGGAGGAGTATAATCGAAACCAAAGGTGTTTGATTTTGGTCGTATAGCGTTTCAATTTCAATTCAAGGTCTGGGGTGAGCAGCACATAAGTGCTCGCATGTAGACATGAGGAACAACTCCGGTTATTTGAAGCAAACCGGTTCTATTCGAGTAGAATTGGGTCGAGGAATTACGAGCTTGAGGTTTCACAAAAGTGGTGGAACGTTTTCCAGTCCGAGTCAGCTTGTTTGAACTTCAACCAGACCTGGTTCAGTTCGGCATCAAGAATTGTTACTATTATATCAGTTGTGTTATTTTTCCTTCTTCTTTTGCATGATATTGTGAGAGGGGTCGTGGAGATAAGAAAAAATTGGTACGGCCGGTCGTGGCTCGATTTGTTGTGCCTCAGACCAATTTAATTCAACCGAACAGGCGGGCTGACTCAAGCTACAGCCGGTTCCAGCCAAACCATTTGCATATATCTATATATGCATGCATGGATATACATATACATTAATCTATATCAAAACGGTTTCAGAACGAGCCTGTTTGTGTCGAACCGAAGTGAGGTCGGCACGATGCTCATCTTTGTTTGTAGGGTTGAGCAAGAGGCGAACACAAACATGGGCGATGTTCGGCTGCCACAGGGGATGGGGGGAGGGGATGGGATGGAGCATCAGAACTCCGAGCCTCCTGGTTCGATCTGTTCGAACCAGGCAGAACACTTCGGTCAGACATGAAAATTGTGAAAAATGTGTCGGACGTGAGCCTAAAACGCGACGCAAACCCCGCGCTAGGCTTGAACCCGCGCCGCGTCCTCCCCCCAATTCCCCCCCATGGCGGAAAAACTCCGCCCTAGTGTTCAGGGCATGGAAAGTGCATTCCCGTGGGTGGTCTCAGCCCACGGGGAATGTAAAATCCATGCCCCCTTCCACAATTTTCGTGTATACATTTACTCCACACTCTAAAAAACAAATAACCCGGACATTGAAATTATAATGCTAAACACAAAGATTCGAAATGAACTCGCCAAAATTAACTAAGGTCGAATCGTCCTTTACACCCTTGAATTAATTTATGGTGTACAGAATTCAAGTAGAGTAAGCTACCCAAACAAATCGCAACAGTAAATTCGGGAAAACTGTTCAGCTCGCGAAGTTTCGTTTCGCGCTGCTGCAGTTTCGTGGGCCCCCATTTCCCGAGTCGCTCCTCCGCGCCTTTTCCCCTAAACTTTCCGCTTCCGCCTGGACTCCAGACTTGGAGTCAACGACGGTTGACTCCGAGCTGACCACCCCGAACTAGAAACCCTAGCTGCAAATCTGATCCCTCCCCCCATCCCTCGGTCGATCCCCTGTGGCAGCCGAACATCGCCATGTTCGCGTTCGCCCCTGCACAAACACCGTCGTTTGGCCAACCGAACACTGTTTGGTTCGCCTAACACCTTTAGCAGAAAAAGTGTTCGCTGTTTGCCTCTGAAGGCGAACACCTTGGCTTTGGAGGCGAACACCTTGGTTTCGGAGGCGAACACGAACGTGTTCGTGACAAACACGTTCGTGTTCGCCCCGGGACTACATTCACCATAGTCACGCATGGCAGATGTTGAATTTGCGCCCCCCTCCTGCCATCTGATGTGACAACGAAATGTCAGATCCGCGCACACCTGATGGCAAAATGCCATATCCGCGCACACCTGATGGCAAAATGCCATATCCGCGCACACCTGATGGCAAAATGCCATATCCGCGCACACCTGATGGCAAAATGCCATATCCGCGCACACCTGATGGCAAAATGCCATATTCGCGAACATCTGACAGCGAAATGCCATATCCGCGCACATCTGACAGCGAAATGTCATATCCGCGCACATCTGACGGCGAAATGTCATATCCGCGCACATCTGACGGCGAAATGCCATATCCGCGCACATCTGGCGGCAAAATGCCATTTTCGCGCACACCTGATGGCAAAATGCCATATCCGCGCACATCTGACGGCGAAATGCCATATCCGCGCACATCTGACGGCGAAATGCCATATCCGCGCACATCTGATGGCAAAATGCCATATCCGCGCACATCTGACGGCGGATTGGCATACCCGGGCAGATCTGACAGCGGAAACCTGGATCCGCGCTGATCTAACGGCAAAATGGCAGATCCACGCAGATCTGATAGCGAAATGCCACGTTGGCGCCTTCGTCTGACTGACCTAAACCAGGAAGATGCGAACTAGGAACACGTATACGACTCGGCTGCTGCTAGTGTAGGCTCGATCTGCATTTCTCGTCGACCTAAACACTTGGGTAGCTGAATATTCGCGACGAACACATTCGTGTTCGTTTTTGTCCCGAAACGAACACGAACGTGTTTGTGTTCGACGCGGCTCAGGCTTCCGCGACGAACCGAACACCAAACATGTTTGGGCAAACACTGAAAACGTTCCGCGCCAAGGCGAACCGAACAGGTGTTCGCCACCTTGCTCAAGCCTATTTGTTTGCATGCTCTCGCTAATCTTATCTCATCTTGCTTGGTGCGTGGTTTGTGCGTATGCTGAATCCGGCCTACTCCATGTTTATGAAGAGTGAGAATAGGTCAAAACTGTCAGCTTTAATAACTCTGCCTCTCTTCCCCTCCCCTCAGCAGGTGTGGAGCTCCCAAGGGCCGCCAGCAGAGGGAAAGGCGGCAATGGGGGCAGAGGGAGGCGAGGGTGGGGACGCAGAGGAGACGGTGGGGAGGAGGGAGGAGGAGGAGAAGGAATGGGTGGTTGCAGCGAGGGAGGAGGAGGAGGAGGAAGGGGTGGAGGAGAGCGAGTTGCGGGATGTGGTGGCACCGATGCCGGTGATTGGAGGAGAAGCAGAGGGTGCATGTGGGGGTGGTGCGGAGAGCAGTGGGGCGGAGTTGGGGGGGGAGGTGGCAGCAGCAGGGTTGGCAGCGGGCAAGGCAAGGCGGCGTGTGCGGTTTGAGGAGGGGGAGAAGGGCCTGCATGGGCTGGCAGCGCTGAGGCTGCGGCAGCACGTGCCCCCCCGCACACACGCGGCAGCAGAGGACGGGTCGGTGGGGGGCAGCAAGGGGGTAGGGGCAGAGGCAGGCGTGGGGTGGGCGGGTGGCAGGGCAAGTGATGGCGGCAGCAGCAGTGCTGGTGGGCTGGCTGGTGGAGGGCTGCTTGGGCGACCTCCCCCGTTGGCGCGAGCCACTAGTGACTGCTCGTGGGAGATGCGGCGAGTGGCCTTACTGGGGGCACAGCACGGCACTCCACGCGCATCGGCCGCTCACTCGCACCTCAAGTTCTCAGACGCCCTGGACCAGCTCGAGCAGCAGCTGGGCCAGTCCACCCCAACCAGGGAGGAGGGCGCCTCGCACACCAACGAGTGGGACGAGCAGCCAGGCCAGGTGAGGCTGGGCACTATGCTTAGGCAACAAGCCACGCACTCTCCTCTCCCCTTCATTATCTGCCCCACCTCGCCCCTTCAAAATCTTGAGTGGTACGTGCTCAAAACCATAATGAAGGCATGGTCGAATCAAACCCAAGCCGGTTCGACCAAGGTGGTCAAGATTCGACCCCATACATGCCGACTTCTGCTCAAACATTTGCCTTTGTCCTTGTGGTGGTCTTTGCGCCAGTCAAAACTTTATATAGGTATGATTGTATTTTAGTAGAAGCACATTCTTTGTTAAGTCATTGCTCCCATCTCCTAGGTTGATCTTACGATAATCAGGGTCACTCAACCAACAGTGAACATCATTAGCTAACCAACCGGTTTGTTATGCATCTTGGCAGTGGGCTTGGATGACTCTGGCTGTGGTACTTTTAATCTGGGAGATGAGT